CCCGTACCGTGATCTTGTTCAGCCTTCACATGCAGCGTGTTTGCTTTGGAATACTTAATCAACCATTTGCTGAGCTACGGAGCTCCCAGCCTGTCAAAGGACGAGCACCTCGAAACTTTCTCTTGGAGGCTTTTGGCACCTGTAAACGCACCGGACACAGGCATTTGCCTGCGTGAATTATTTTGGGAGGACTTTAGCCAGGCTTAGGAAAGACATAGTGGGTCACATCTTGTCCTCACCCTCCACACAGGGAAAATAATGCACAAAGGGTGATTTTCAACCCTCCCCAGCTGCATGGTGGTGTGCTTGGCACGGGTTGCCGCAGCTCGGAGCATTTAACATGTGCTTTTCCAGAAACCCATCGCAAACGGCTTGTCCTCTGCGGGAGCGCACGGCACAGGGGCTGGATTCACCCCCGTGCCGTAAACTTTTCCTAAAGGGCGGGGAGATGAGAAAGGCTCCAGTTATGCTTTGGGAATGGGGATGTTGTGACACTTGCTGCCCTGGCTGGGAAGCAGGGATCAGCATTAGCAGTGACTGGTAGGGAGGGATTAAACTGTTAGAGGGTCCCAGTGGTTTCTGGCTGGCGCTGATGCCAATTACACTGCCACGGCGCGTGGCGTAAATGCCAGGCTGGTTGTCTGAGGTTGTATCTGTGTGGTGCGTCCTGTCATTATAAATCCTCAGCATTTACAGTGCTATTTCATGGTAAACCCTCGTAGCTTACACCGTTATTCCCAACAGAAATGAATCCCAGGCTGTGGTTAACTTGCTCGTGTCCGTTGGGACCCTGCCCTGTCTGTAAGCATTAGGTGGCACGGCTGGATCCGCTCTCCTCACACCGACCCGCTGAGCGCTGCGTGTCGCTGTGCCGCTGGCATGGTCCCCAGGTGGCCGGGTTAGCCCCCACAGCACGAGGGACGTACCCTGCGTGGTCCCTGGGCCGACGGGTTGGTTTGGGGCGTTAAATGGAGCAAAACGGCCTTGGGCATTGAGGAGAAGGGAAGAGGAGGGCCGCCCGCGCCACCCCAGCGCCGCGTTCGGAGCCAGGGCTGCAATTGTCGTGCGGGTTGGTTTGGGGCGTTAAACGGAGCAAAACGGCCTTGGGCATTGCGGAGAAGGGAAGAGGAGGGCAGCCCGCGCCGCCCCAGCGCCGCTTTCGGAGCCAGGGCTGCAATTGTCGTGGTTTTACTAATACTTTGACTCCAAAAACAGGAGAATTTGAGGTCTCCCTTACCACGGGTGATGTCCTCAAACTGCTTCCGTGTTTCCTGGGGTTCGTGGGGGCGAGCCTGGGCTCCTGGTGTTAAACCGACAGGGCTCAGGTTGGTGTCCGGCACACCAACCAAACGGTTCCAGCCTGGATTTGGAGGGTGCTTATGTGTCTTATTGCAGGTCTTGTGACTTAATTAAGTTGGTTTGTTTGCCTCTTCCTTTCCAAGATGCAGAGAGATTATCTTCCATCCCCCTGGGACAACACAAGGAAAAGTCTTGCAGTGATTTGTTTCAGCAAAGCAGATTTTTTTTTTTTTCTTTTTGGGAGCAAAGGGATTCTTCTGCAGACCAGCAGCTGGCTTCTACTGGCCATCAAAAATGTCAAAACTGCACAATTAACTTCTTTAAACATTTTCATTTAATAGTACCCATTAAGTTATGTCTTATTAGCAGCTTCTATGTAAAAACTGCTGTCTTGCGAGTTCTTTTTCCTGCGGTTACACGGTGGCCAGCAGTTCAAGTAGCCACATGCCCTGCAATGCCTTCAGCAATGGGCTGGCTGCTGGTCCATTCTGGGTTCCGCTCAGCATCTGAGCTACATAATTTTATTTTCTTTTTATTGTCGTACTTTAACAACTGTTACACCAACGTAGATAGTCTCTTCAGGGCAAGCCGAGAGAACTGATGTCGTATGGGGGTAGATGTACGAAAACATCTCATTTACCAGCAGGCAGTCGGGTAATGATCAGTTGAGAATTGCAAATTATGTACGTCATATATTTGTGGCATGCTGCTGAAGAAAAGCCCAGTGCATGTGACAAATCATATATATACTGAAATTTATAATACTTTTCACATTTAATTGACTGGGGCAACCTTATGATTTACATCTTTGCTTTATTCATAGCACACCCATAACATAGTCATAATGCAGAACGAAACTAATTCAATTTCTCCTTGACTTTGTAAATCGTTTATATATTTGGCTGTCGAGTATTGGAATATAAAATAGGGATACACCCGGCAGAAAATAAATAGCTGATTCTCTAGTTAAGAAATTGAGTTTTAATGGTAATTAGGGTCTGTGTTGTCTTACTTGGATGTTTGCTCTTGCTTATATAGCATGCTTTAGGTGTGCCCCTTGCCCTGTTTCACAAGGAAAGTATATTTTATGGGCACCAGTGTTACTTTCTTAATGACCCTGTATAGTATTACGACCGTGTAGAAGATACTGGGCTTGCTTTGATGGCAGCAGGAGCCCTTCCCGGGCTCGGGAGCAGTAAGTGGCTGCTACTCTTGGTCGTGAGAGTTCTGCTTGAAGGTGCCAGTACACGCAGGGACGGCAGCCTGCCTCACCAGTACCCTTCCGTAGCTGACAAGAAGATAATGTTCTATTGGCCGTAGCTTTCCCAAAGATCCATTTTTGCCATGGACCTATCACGCAGAGTCTTTGAAAATACAGCCTGGAAGGATTTTTCCATTTCCTTCAATTACCAGGGTACCTGGCTTGGCATCCCTAATTAACCTTGGGAAGCAGGGCAGCATGTAGCCCTGAGAAGGAGTACCTTGCCCACTCGACCACAACCAAGGAGGCTGCCGAGGGTGCTTGTTGTCTCCTGGGAAAAATAAGCTGCTGCAGTCCTTGACATGGTTTTTGACACCTGTAGCATCACTGGAAAACATCTGCAAAATCGAGATAGTGCAGAAAGTGTGAGGCAGTTGGCTGCCTCATTATCATACTGCAGAAACAGCTCTCCTCCTCGGCAGCATCCTTGATTTCTAAATTTAGCACCTGAGCTATTTTGGGTAGTGTGTGATTAACCTCAATTACCGTAGCTCGGGTGGAATTCAAATAATGCCTCCCCTCTTTTAGAGCTGCAAAGAAATGGAAAATTGGGACTGTACATTTCCTGCCCTTAATGAAGCTGCTCAGAGATGCTTGCCTGTCAGTGGAGGTCAGCTGTGGGATGCATTTGTTGGTGAAGTTAATGGGACCAGCAGACCCCAAAAGGTGGGGGTGGTCCATGGCTCCGTGCTGGTTTTGGGAACGGGAACATAAAGATGAAGGCAGCAGGTTATGTGGTGGCAGCTGGTGTCAATGAAACCTGGGTGGGCATGGCAGCGATCGCTGAAGCTTCCATGGATTTGGATCACGGTCACGAGACTTTGTAGTTTTCCTGCTTGAATTAAATCAGTAATGGAGGCTTTCAAAAACTAATCAGAAATACACTTCCCCTCAATCTCAGCCGTGATGAACATCGGCTCTCTGGAAGCTCATTGGTGGTGAGGCACTGCACGTGGCAGATTGACACGAGCATGTGTGAGCAGGAGATGCAGGATGCACACACGGCCGAGACGATGCCATGGAAAGCAGCGGGTCTGGGTGGAAAGCGGCCTGTTTCAGCCCATCCAGGAGCGCTAATGGATGAGCTCGTCGTTAGCAGGCTGAGAATCGAAACTTCTGTCGTCGCTGTAGCTGTAACTTTCCAGACTGCACTGTGCCAGCCGAGCCTTTCTCCTGGCAAGCAGTTTGTCTCCAGAGAAGGATAAAACCCAGGGAGGTTGTTACCGCAACCCCAGGCCAGCGTACAAACTCACGTGTAGCAGTCGGTGGGAGAGCTGACTGACGGTGGCTTGTGGTAGTTGCCTTTGCTGCTAGCCAGAAGGGGCCAATACTTTGAAAATGAAGGTGGCATTTGGATAGAGGAGCCAGCCCTTTCCTGCCTAAAGTCAAGTTTGCTCGAGGAGCTGAACCAAAACCGTGAGGTTTTGCACCAGGCTGAGCTTCAGTTTGTGCCTTGTGGGTGGAGCAGCACGTTGCTAGCCTTGTGCCGTGGCCAAAATGAGCCTGGAGGAATCTAAAAAGTTGTTAGGAGTCTGGAAAGCAGCTATAAAATTGCCACCTCATTACAGCAGCTATTGACTTCTTTGAGGGCTAGTTTGATTTTGTGCTTTTTTGTCCGTCTGTAATTTATGTCTGTTTATTTCCACTAAAAATAACAGATCAGCCCCAAGTCCTACCAATGGGAAACTGTTCGCAGCAGTCACCGTGCCTCTTCCCATGTGCTATAATTGCTTGCTTAACTGGCAGAAAGAACATTTTACCCTCAGAAGACATTTCAGGGCCAGACAGATGCTAAACACTGAACCACAGGGCTGTGGGCAGTGTGTTCCAAAAAAAAAAAATATATATCTTTGCTGAAGGCTGCAGGAAAACTGATTGCATGGATAGAGTGGTAGCACAGGGATGCAGCAATATGGGGGAGAAGGGAAAGGAAACAAGCAAATGCTATTGCATTGCTTCTGCTGAGCCACTTTCTCTCTTTTTCTGGGTGGCAAGCAGCGGCAGGGGCTGTTTGGCTTGATGATCCGGAGCTGCCGTGTGTTCTGCCCCAGCACAGTGGGGCTATGGCTTCCCGACCACCAGTGATAGTCCCTAGAGGACACCCCGCTTTTTGGATAGTCAGTTGCCTTCAAGGCTTGCTGGCAGGGCAAAGTGGGTGTAAGACCTCGGGGTGAGGATGATCAGCCCCAGGGGACACCTGGGCAGGCATCAAAACAGGGTCTGCACAGTCCGTCCCCTCGTTGTGTCTGTCTTGGGATGGTGAACACTGTGTGCATCCTTTGGCGGGGGCTCTGTCCCCAAGCGGAACCTGTCACCACCCCCTCTGTGCTTTACTTAAGTCATAATGTAATACAGATGCTCAGCCTGATCAGCTGAACTGCTTGTAAAGGCGCTACGTCAGTTAATTTTTCACCTTGATTTGCCTTTTGTCTTCCTACAGCTGGACAACCCGGACGAGCAAGCAGCACAGATCAGACGCGAGTTAGATGGACGTCTTCAAATGGCAGAGCAAATTGCCAAGGTAAAAACCAAACAATTCTTCACGTAGAAGCGCATAAGCAGTGTGATGAAGCCCCCATGTCCTGTCCTCCTCTCACAGGTTTTTTTCTCCCAGTAATCACCACTTAACAAATAGTAGATTTCAACTACAAACAAGTACAGGTGAAGCTACTGTAATGTGCATTTCTTGTCCTGATGAGCTGGGACAGTTCAGGTTCCTGCAAAATCCCTTATGAATCCTCAGTGATGGGGAAGATCCTGTCCTGAAGTGCTCCAGCTAGATCTGCCAGTGCCCATCTGAGCTCTTTGTCAGACCCCTGTGCTAGGTAATACATGTGAAAAAGAGCCAGGAATTGCCCTAACAGGGTTTGTGCTGTTCACTGGGTAGGAAGCCACAGTCCCCTGACTGCAGGTAGATGCTGCCTCAATAAAGGAACCTCAGCTGTGCTGTCCCAGACATGCTCACGCTTTGTACCGGGGCAGTCAGGTTAGCGTTGCACCGTACAGATATCACAGCCGCCTGACATGGGACGTCAGAGCAGTTTTTCATAACCAAGCTCTTGGCTAAACTCCCCAGACCTCCGTAAGGAGACGTGTCACTGGGAGCAGATCACACCCTCACACTGTGCAGGTTTATGTGGCCTCTGATGGGCCACAGAGGGAGAGAAATCCTGGATCCTGTTGACATCAGTATGGCCAGGATTTTATCCTTGCCACTGATCAGATGTTCCAAGTCACAGATAAAGCCCTAATAGGGCTGAAATCATTGGGAATTATCTATCTGGCTGTTCTTGATAATCAAGAGACCGTTACTAGAAGGAAAAGAAAAAGGTTTGATCAGAGAGGCATAGCACAGGCTAGGGACCTGCTTCCCAGCAGAAGTCCTCCCAGCACTGAGCTGTGCCCAAAGTGGGGGGGGGAGGGGGTATGCAAAAAGTAATATAGGAACTGTTTGTAACCACACTGAGATCCCTGGGTGTGAAACGCAAAGCACTTTGACTTACAGTCAGGCATTCACAAGGGTGCCGCTAGGACCTGTGCAGTTACTCTTCATTAAGGCTTCTGTTAAACAGCTACTGCTGTTGCATCTTTGTGGAGGTGGGTTCTGGCTTTCCCCACTTCACTGATGAAAACAGTAAGGTGGCCAAGGACCACGTGGCCAAACGGTGGCACAGCAAAGCAGCAAACGGACTGCAGCTCCTTGGTTCAAAAAAAATTGGAAGTGTCCAAGGCCAGGCTGGATGCGGCTTGGAGCAACCTGGTCTAGTGGAAGGTGTCCCTGCCCATGGCAAGGGGATTGGAACTAGATGGTCATTAAGGCCCCTTCCCACCCAAACCATTCTGTGATGCTATGATTTTATTGTGAAGAAAACTTGCAGTATTTTTAATTTGTGGCAAAATGAAAGCGCTGCTGCTCCAGGTCCAAGGTGGATCAGCCAGGCACTGGGTACCGGAATGAGATTGCCTGATTTCATTGTTTCATTTGCTCTTTACGGCATGTGGGACAGTATGGTTCAGTAGCAGCTAGCAGAGCCTGCAGCTTCATGAATTATTTTTTGCAAACAAGAATTTGCCATTCCCTTTTCTCCCCCAAGGATGCTGACGACAAGCCATGCTGCTGTTGGCCCTGCGAGAGGCAGTCAGGGGAAGTCCTCACCACAACCTGACATTTCCCTGTGCAGAACTCAACCTTCAGCATACAGCGGTGCGGCTTGGAGGGCGGTTTAGAGTGACTTCCCTGTGATCCAGTTGGCAGGCATTGATATTTAATCTCCTTCACCTTCCTGCTGCCGGGCTTCTAAGATCCCAACAGCACCTGCCCACGAGAAACCTTTTTCTTTCAGCCCCATGAAAGCCATCTTTTGGTGGCATCCGAATGACCTTTTGAATCCTGTCTGTATCCTCCTCTCCGGGCAAGGCTACTTTCCCTCTAGTGTAGGGCAGGTTCCCAGTTCAGCTCGATGAAAGGGTAGCATTTCCCATTTTATCTCCAATTTGCAGCTTTAAGTGCAGGTTTCTTGCAGGGAAGACCTGTGCTGTGAAACCAGCCCTGAGGTGGCTGCCTTTGAGACTCCATGCTACGGGTAAATTAACACCTCATTAATACATTAAGAAATCCACACTAGGACATCTGTACTTCAGAGGCCACGAAGGCTTTGGAGTCTAACGGGCCTGGGATCAGAGTGCTGCAGGACTGGGGGCTCTGCAAACCCTTGTCTGACCCCAGACTAGTCACCGTGCTCACTGGCTTTCCCCAGTGACCCGTTCCTGCATCTGGAAACCAGGACACAGCGCGGGGTGTTTTCACCCCCTCGTGTGCCCAGGAGAGCGCGGCTAAGCACAGCGGCACTAGGCAGGGTCCCTCGCTGAGCCCCACTCCGTCAGAGCACCTTGGAACCGGCCAGCTTGAGGATTGTGCTGGAAGTCAAGCAGAGCTTTTAAAGCTGAATCGGGCCAGGCTTTTTGCTAAGTGGGAGCAGCATTAGAGCTGAGACTTTAGTGATGCCAAGGCAGAGGTATGTGTTCCTTTGCAGCAGCAAGTGCTCTGCTGCTCCGTGGTGCCTTTTCCTCCAATGCAGTCACCTGGCCTCAAGGGCAAGGAGAGCACGTGTAGGTGCAACTAAATGAGACCTTGGGATGACACCGGAGCAATATGTCCGTCTGGGCTGGGCCTACTCTGCACCAGCCAGCTGGACTGGTCATTCCTTACGCTCTTAGCTCTGCTTTTCTCCATACTTGTCCCCATTTCTGGTCCTCTCCCTGCTCCAGCTAACACCGTTTCTTGCTGCTGCCTGCATCCCTTGATTGTGTCTTCCTCCAGACTTCTCCCAACTCTGTCTGCAGTCTGATGAATAACACGGAACTACACCTGCAGCTCTGCATTTCCATCATCAGGGCCAGTCCCAGTTAAATGAGTATGCGTCATTCCAAACTGGTTTTAGCCTTAGTATGGGGAGTTGCTGGTGGCACACAGTGACATGTCTCAGTCCTTGCTGTACTTTTGAAGAGGTTTTTTGGGAGCAGTGCCAAAACAGCAGTCCCTGGAGAGATGGATAGCAGCAGGGTGAAAAAGCAGTAATGTTTAAACATCATTGCTTCACCACTAGTCCTCAAAATCTACAGAACAGTTGTGGTGTTTTTTCTAGGGGTGGCTTGCAACTTACGTAATGATAGACAATAAACCAGACTGATTAGGTAGTTTATCTTACACCAGGTCTAATTTACATGAGGGAATTGTATCCCAGCATTGAGGCTGGAAACAGAAGACTATTCTAACTGCTTGGTGTGAGTGCTGCTGTGAGCTGTGCTTGTAATGGGTAAGCTATTGAGGACTGATGCAAAAACTGTGCAGCAGAGGACTTTGTCAGCAGCCTAACGACATACTTCTAGAAGAAACATGACCTTGTTTTCTTTGCTAGTGTACATTTTGCAAACTGCTTTTTACAATCTTAAGAATTGCCACTAAGACACTTTGCGCGTCAGCCTCAAGTTGCCTGGCTGCAGATGCTGCTTTGCTGTCATGCACCTTGCAGAGTCTCTCGGAACCCACTGAGAGACGTTCAAACCCTGCGCCGAACTGGAGCACGGGCAGAGTTGTGAGAAGATGTAGAGCTCGGACCAGTGATTCTAATGGAGCTGGAGCATGGATGAGCGTTCAAAGCTGAGAACATGCACTGGGGAGCATCACGGTTTGCTCTGTCACCTTCGCTTTTAATGTTTAAACATCCTGTTGTCCTGGTTTAAGTCCAGCCAGCAACTCAGCACCATGCAGCCACTCACTCCTTTCCCCTGTGCAATGGGAAGGAGAAAAATAGAAGGAAAGGCTTGTGGGTCAAGACAAGGAGCTGGGGTGAGGTCTCACAGTGAAAGGTGGTCTTGTTGGAGCGAGACACAGGCCCAAGGGCTGTTTTACCCCTTCTTTCAGTCGGGATCATAAATTCCTGCCCATCTTGGGCTCCTTTCACACCTAGAAGACTAATGGTGTAACTGCTCAGAAGTGTTTTAAAAAGAGCTGGCATGTTTGGGAGCCTGGAAAACAAGTCCCTAACTGTCAGCATCCTTTGAATCATTAGCAAATTGCTGTCAGTCACGAAGTTCGGCTGAAACCTGGCCTGGAGTTTGTAATTGTGAATATGTGTATAGGAAGGACATTAACAGATAGAAAAATGAATAAAATGCAAATGCACGCAAGAAACAGTACAGTTGGGTAAGTACCAAGTAGCAATTCTATGGGAAGCTAACAATAACGTTTCTGTGTTACGGAGGGGGAAGCTGTAATTTGTCATCTGGTTTGTGGAAGTTCCCTGCTCGCAGACCTCTCTGCAGATGCTCCTGGGGAATTCTCCCAGTGCAACAAGTGCTTGCTGCTTGTCCCCACAATTCATGCTGTTGTTTTTTTTTCCCTGTCCAAGGAGCGCAAGTTTCCGAAATTTGTGTCCAAAGAAATGGAAAACATGTACATCGAGGAGCTGAAGTCGTCTGTCAATCTCCTGATGGCAAACTTAGAGAGCATGCCTGTGTCTAAAGGAGGCTCTGAGTTCAAGCTGCAGAAGCTGAAACGCAGCCACAACACCTCAATAATTGACATGGGAGAAGAGAACGAGAACCAGCTCTCCAAGTCGGACGTCGTGTTGTCGTTCTCCCTGGAGGTAAGCTCCATGCACATGGCAGCGTGCGGGGTTTGTGGGAGTAAGAGTCGCAGCCGTCGTCTGCTGCTGGGTTCACACTCAAGTTAGTTGGAGAGGGTTCAGTGGAAATCACTTCCTGATCTCCGTGAGGAGTGAACGGCTCCTCTGAGTTACCAGAACCTTTGACTGTGATCAAACACCGTGTCCTTTCTGGTGTTCCAATACTGTCTTGTTGGAGCAAACTGAGATAAACCGTCTGACATTTCCTGCTGATGTATGTCGAATAGCTCAGCAATCGGCATTGTTAGCTGACCTCTCCACATAGCTTGTTACTGAGTGTACCCCAGTAACCTGAGCCTGTATTGCCCCCAAAACCGGTGCGATAATGCAACCCCGTGAACGTCAGTGTGTTTAATGATTGCCAGTTGAAGGTGTCACTGCATTTCCCTGCGAGCCTTGCTGCTCTCTGGAGAATTGTTTAAAATTGCTGGCGTTTGAATGCACGCGGCAGGTTGGTGTGGAAACACTGTGCTTTGCTGGCTTGCTCTCCGCTTTGTGTTGAGCTCTGACTTTCTGCTCAGCGCTCCGTCGGGCACTTTGTACAGCCCAGGGTGCTGCAGGGGCCCACCGGTGCCTCCAACACGGGCTGTCTCAGTCCTGGAAGCAGTGTTGCTGCAGTAGCTGTTTTCAGCCAGCTTAATTGTTCTGCACAAACATATCTGCGGTCTAGGCAAGACATTTACTCCGAGGAGTCATCAGCACACCCGTGTGGAATTGTTGTCTATCGGTGAGTGGGTTTGTTGTATTGTCAAAACAACTGCCAGGACGGGGACAAAAATGTAGGATGCAGAAAAACAAGAAAATCCTATTTTTGTGTGGTTTGCTGTTTATTTCTCTTCCTGAGGAGTTTATATATATATGTGTGCATTATATATATCATGCCAGTGCAAAACTTAATGATGCCGGTTGTCCAGGCTCAGAGTTTAACTCATTAGATGCCTTGAAACCATCTTTACAATATTCAGTCTTATTTTAAAAGAGGGCTGTAATGAACCCAGAGATGGTGCCTTCAACACCAGCATCAAGTAAAGCCTGACTTCTAAGCGTTCCCATGCAGAGGAGCAGGGAACTGTTACAAAGCAGTCGGAAAAACATGTGCAGCACGTATAGCTGTGCATAAAGGGACTCACCCTTACAAGGAGGTGTCTCAAACGCTTTGCTCGGGCTGAACCCTGGCCGGTGGGAAGCAGAAGCTCAGTGAAGCACTGCCCTCAGGAGCTGGCAGGTCTGTGCACTACTCTGTGCACGGAACTTCTGCTGCAAGAGAGCTTTTGTCGCCGACGTGTGCTCATCAGAGGGTCTGCGGGGCTCTGTGTGCCCAGTGGGGGATCCTTGGTGCAAGGGCAGATCAGAAGACCTGAGGAGAGGAATTTTAAACCCCTGTGTAGATACTTCATAGGTAGGTGTAATAAAACACAAATATTAATTTCCACCGTGTTTCTTGTAGAAATATTTAAGGTACATGGTTAACAGGCTTATTCCTCTTTAAAGAAAAAAAAGGGTAATTACCTGAAAGACACTTAAATGGTGATTTCTTAATAAGAAAGCTGGAAAGACTCTTTACCAGAGTCTGTAATGACAGGACAAGAAGGGGTAACAGTTTTAAACTGCAAGAGAGCAGATTTAAGTTGGACATCAGGAAGGAATTCTTCCCGCAGAGGGTGGGGAGGCACTGGGACAGGATGCCCAGAGAAGCTGTGGATGCCCCATCCCTGGAAGTGTTCAAGGCCAGACTGGATGAGGTTTGGAGCAACCTGGTCTAGTGGAAGGTGTCCCTGCCCATGGCAGATAATCTTCAGAGGTCAGACCCAAACCATTCTGTGATTAATCTTGAAAACGGGCTTTTGGTACGAGCTGAGCAGCTGTGTGCTTTTCTTCTGGATTTCACATATTAAGGCACAATTAGGCAGGACAGTAACGTGTCTGCGAGACCCATTTCCTGAAGCGTGGTACTGCCCTGGGCAAGCTGAGCAGCTGTGTGCTTTTTTCCTGGATTTCACATATTAAGGCACTATTAGGCAGGGCAGTAACGTGTCTGTGAGACCCATCTCCTGAAGCGTGGTACTGCCCTGGGCACCCAAGGGTTTTGCCAAGCCCGTGTGCAGTCGGAAGGAGACCTCCCACTCTCCATACAGACCCTGCTGCCAGGAACATCCAGCAGCACATGGAGGACCCCAGCGCCAGCTGACCTCACGGGATCAGCAGCCAGAGCAGGAGCTGAAGGAGGCTGCTTCTCTGACCCCCCCTTTCTTTGCCCCACAGGTCGTCATCATGGAGGTGCAGGGTCTGAAGTCGCTGGCCCCCAACCGTATCGTCTACTGCACCATGGAGGTCGAGGGTGGGGAGAAGCTGCAGACTGACCAGGCTGAAGCCTCAAAGCCAACGTGAGTCTTTGCCTCTTGCTTTCTCCACCCATCGCTCTGCTGCGTGCTCTCTGCGGATAGCTCTGGCTCCTGTGTGGTGATGCCAGAGGGAACCCTGAGAGCAGAGGAGAAACGTGGCCTTCCGGCGTCCTGGTACTAAGAAAGGCACATAAGCCCTGATTGAGGGGGAAAAAAAAATGTTAATGACAGGCTTATGTCTCTTGTAGCCATAGAGACATAAATTTGTGCCTGTACGTAAGTACTTTGCTAAATAGGGATGGAGTTAGGCATGTGCTTAGATAAATACTTGTCTGAGTGTCCATCTGAACTGGTGCCATCAGGTGTAGGTACATAATCTCCTCCTCACTGTCAGGGTTTTGGTGGTCCTGCAGGAAAAGGAAATAGCTGGCAGGGACACGCTCCAGCAGCCACAGCCTGAGGTGGGAGAGAGGAGGTGAGGAAAGCTTCAAGTTACTCAGTTAAAGCTTTATCTGAGGCCACTCTGCCCTAGTCCAGCTCAAGGGCAGAGTTTTGTTCTATCCTCTTTGACCTGGTCCCCAAATCCCCAACCTTAGCCTTATACTTGACTTTTTTGTCTTACGCAGATGTTGCTATAAGCCTGCTAGTAGTGATTGATCTTTGTTAATTTAGAAGGAGAAAATGATGAATGGCTTATTTCCTTTCCGATCTGTGGGATTAGTTAACTTGAAACACTCTTTATATGGATTTGAGGCAGTTTTCCTCTGGATCACTGCAGAGATTTCACACTTAAATGAAATTCTCAGTGCACATCCTCATAGTGGAGAATTGCCAAGGTGATATGAAACTTCCTCCAGTGATGGGGAGCAGTGCAGGGGGGCTGCTGTTGGGATATTCCCTCTCTGTTCCCATATCCCATTCCCTCACTGGCATTTCGCTGGGAGCTTCCCAAGCTTACGGAAGGAAAGCCAAAAGCACCCGGCTGCGTTACGTGCGAGTGCATACACACTGCAGGCAGAAGGAGAGCGGAGCGGGAGGCAGGCTGCCTTCCCTCGGTGCTTGTCCTCCTGCGCAGAAACTGCTGATGCCTTGTGCCCTGCGCCGTGCTGGAGGAGCATGAATCTGCAGCAAGCCATTTAAAAACAATATTCCCAATCAGGGAAAGTGCTGCAGCCTGCCTTAGTTTTCAAAACACTTAGAAATCTGCTTCAGAGGAGGAAGTAGAGCTGTACTTGGAAGAAAATTTCCATAAGAACCTGCAGTTCCTGCTATTTCAGGTATTTTTGTTGCTTCAGTGGAGAAAGTTGGACTTTGTTTAGGGAAAATTCCTAGTACCTATCCTGGGAAGCACACTTCTGCTGCGTTAGTTAGGTGTGCTTGTTTAGCTTGGTCTGTTCATACCACTCTAGCTCAAAGGGTCTGTCCTCACGCAAGCCTTCTTGCTGTCAGCCACAGGACCATTTATGCAAGTGTTATTTTGAAAATAAGGGCTGCAGGAGTGAGCTCTTTAATTGAGTGGGTCTTTTTATCATAATGAAATGTACAGTGTCTGGGCATGAAGCCATCAGCCCTCAGGAAAACGCAGCCAACACTGCACATTGCAGTGTGTTATGAGTTGCACAAGTCCATCACACTCATCCTCCCTCTGCACTTCCCGCAGAGGTGCAAGCCAGGCTTGAAGTCTTCTGGGTTGCTCCATCACTTGGGCTAATGCCTGTGGAATTGCCTTAGGAGGGGAGTAGGTTTGACAGTTGCATTCCTTGAGGGTCCTCAGACTCGTTCCCTCCAAAACCAAAGACCACCCAAGTCAAGGCTCTAAAATAACCTTGCACAGGACTGGAGACCATCACAGGAAGCTTGTCCCTCATTTTTTAGAAGTGCTTCTTTCCCCTTGCTTCCCCTCCCAGACACAACAGCCCAGGCAGGGAAAACCAAAGCCCTGTGAAAGCAATTTACTGCACTTATATCAGAAGAGGAGGAGAGAGAGGATGAAGTAGATGTGACATGTTTGTCATGTTGCTTAATGCCAGACTTGAAGGCCCTCAGGTGCTGTGGTGATGAGGACAGTGATAAAACTACCCGGAGAAGTCCTTGGTGCATTTTTGAGCTATGCTGCCTTGCAGATAAAAGATCCATCGTCAGCCAAAACGGTCTTCTGGAGTGTCCTTAGATGCTGATGTCACCCTCACTGAGATAATTCACACCCTGTTTGCTCATGTACTTTTTATCATAAGCAAAATGCTCATTGATAAGGGGACTAGATCAGCAGAAGCATCTCCAGGGGAGGCCCCGGGCTGTGTGTGCTTTGGCAGGGGATGCTCCCTATCCTGGGGGTGAGGAGCACACTGCGGGGATTTTGAGCCTCAGCACTGTGAAAGTGTAAGTACTGAAGCAGGTTACCCCTGTATGTCCCCAAACTTTCACATCTCGGAGGCTCTAGAAGTAGAAATGCAGGTTAAGTGCGTGTACTGAGAAGATGGGGTGAGTACGGTTCTGGAAACAGGCGATATTTTCTCAGATTAAACTGTAACTCTTCAAACTGCTGGAATTTCGGTTTTCTGTTGTCTGGAGGCTCTACAGGCTACAGAAGATTGAATTTCTCATATACCTCAGAGGAAAAAAACATTACCAATGAATCTTACTGTTCAAGACCTCTTTCATGACAGCCCTGTGTCCTGGGGAGGTGGAGAGTGTCACCCGTGGCTGCTCTTCAGCTCAATGCCGTGCCAGGGGTACCAACCTGAGCTCCACACCCCTAATAGGAAAAAGGCAATTTCCCAGCCAGGGAGAGATTTTCAAAAGCACTAGTCTAGGTCTGTGAGAGATTCACCTTTTCTCTTGCCTGGTGCAAAACCTGCAGTTTGTGCAAATAAGATGTTTGAAAGCATCTTAGTGACTTCGGAGCTTGAATCCTGTTTGTAGAGCTTGAAAGAGGCAGGGTAGCAGCAAGGTTAGCAGCCACGTGTACCAGGCAGTGAGCTGGTTCGTGTGTGAGGACCGTGGCTCTCGGGAAGGCAGTACATACTGGTCTTCTGTTACTTCTCAGGCTCCATGTTGGATTCCTGACATTTTAAGCCCTTCATGTGAGGATTATCTGCTTCAGCATGGGTAGAGAGGATGGCACAGTAATAGAGAAAGCCAGGCCTGAAATAGCAAGGGTTATTTCAGATCAGGCTTGCAGTGTGTTATTAGTAGTGCTTTTAATAAGTTGTGGAAGAAAAAGCTTTTCTATTTGCCCTAACCGGCAGATACCTCTACAAAATATCCCAAATCCCAGTGTGAGCAGGATTTTGCTGCTTTTTATGCTGGAATTGTATTCTTACAGATCTTAGAGGGTTTTATACCACGCCTCCTCCCTGCACCTTGTCCTGATGTCTACCCTCTGCAAAGCACGGTGGCTCTGCACGTCTCCAGGAGCTGCGTTAGTAGTGCTGCTCTTTGCGCGGGCCGAGAACAAGGATGCTGAAGGGTCTGGGAATGGCACAGAAAGTCCAGCCACAACAGCTCTGTCCTACGGTCTCTAAAGAGGCTGCTGGATATATTTAAACAATGACCTGTGCTTGTAGCAGGGCTCATGGGCTGTATGATTCATCTTACCATATTGCCTTTTTCTGACGAGCAAAACAAAAGAAAACAAAGAGACCCAAACAACAGCAAGATCCTACGTGCCTTGGAAATGAATGCTGTATATTCACCTGGACATACTTCCGCGTGCAGATAAGTGTCATTCACTACTGTGAGCCCTGGGAGAGACTCAGGTGCATTGAACCATTTAGGTTAAAAGCAGGAAATAACTCGTTGGGGGTGACTGTGGCCAACCTGTCTGGACATCTTGGCTTGCTCAAGAAGGGACAGAGGTGTGGGCTACTCCTCTGACTCTGGAGGTGCCTTCCTTTGGAGGTTAAATATCCCCCTGTGCAGAGCAGCCTCTCCAGGACTAGTGCAAGGGTCATGCACTAGAGTGTGAGAAGAGAGGATGGAAGTTACTGTTTTGGAAGGAGATAGGATCACTCTTTATTGCCTGTTTTTTTTTGTTTGTATCTGCAGTTTTCTTAAGCATGTGCTGCAGGGCTGTGCTGGAGAGAGGACATTCAACAGGTCTCATCTGACTCCGTGTCACTTCTTGTGCTGTTTGCCATGACCAAGAGCTTGCGCCTCATCCCTTCTCCTGAAATTCTCTTGATAAAGTGATGTCCTTGGTAAACTTCTCACCTCCATCTCCGTTCCCTTAGCCACTGTGCTAGGAGACAGGTCTGCCCTGGTTTATCACTGATGCTGCTCCCAGATTTGCTTTCAAGGTGCTCTGACAGCTCAGCTGCTTATCTCTGCTGCACCAAGCCCTCCAGGCTTATCACTGTCTCGGGCCTTCATTTGGCATTGGTGTGCCGCATCCGCAGAACCCACTGCCTGACAGGAATGTCACAGCATCCTTCCTCTGTGCCATCCAGTGACCGTCTCCTCCTGGGAGGTGGGCACTGAGCAGCAAAGGGAGAAGCCCTGCGGGAAGGGAGGCCGGTGAGCAGGGATGCAGTCTGTCTTTGCAGAAGGGAAAAATCCAGTTTTTTCACTCAGGAATTCCCTGCCTCAGGCCCTGGAGTTTGAAGTGATGCTCAGTGGCTTTGCACAGAGTGGGAGAGTGATAAGACCATTTTGTTGCAGTCGGTGTTTTGCTGTCACGGTTCATTGGGAGATGCTGGGAACATTTCCCTGTAGTAAAAGGAGAAAGGTCCTTTTGAGATGTATAAATTACACATAAATATTTCGTACACTGTAGAACAAATGTAACTCTGCTAAACTGAAGGGGCTTATACTGATGCAGAATTTAGCCCATCATTCACGTTGTGTGTCCCTCAGTACAGCTGTTGGTGCTGTGTCGGGTAGGTCTGTTCCAGACATGTGTGGATCTGCAGTCCAGGAGGCTGGCCACTGCTCTCAGCATTGCTGTCCCGGCTGCTGTGAGCCTTGCAGACAGGAAAATCATCCGCCCGAGACTTCCTGGCATCACCTGGGTGCACTGAGCCCGTGCTCAGAGCTGTTCCTGG